AATTTACATTAAACTTTTATATAAACGGAATCTTTTTTCAGCTGTTATTTCAACTTGAATTTCGCGTTGTAGACTAGTGGAACACCACCTCATACTGCGATGTAGTGATAGCGCCACATCACGTGACCTTGAAAGAACTGGCTCGCTAATCGCTCAATTGCGCACTCGTGGTTTTTTCGTTGTTGCTCAGCGACATTTTACACACACCTTTGGCTCTATGCTTATTCGTCGTGCTTTTACAAGCTCCACTTTGCGACACCATTTCCTCGAGTACACTCCAATGCATCCCACATTTACGCTGAATTGTAAATGCTTGACAGTGTTTCGCCGATATCCAAGCACCAATACTTGCATAACTCTAGCCATCGGAGACATTGTTTGGTCTCACTCGATAGACCATATCAATGGCTTTCGACCGAACTCTCACTCGTTAAAATCCAACATTGCTTGGAGCATGTACAGGTCTCACGGCCAATCCAACTGGCGCGATCCGTAGGCCTAGACACGAAAATTCTTCATCACACTGTAGTATTCTTTGAAGTAACGTATTTGAAATGGATTGGGCTCAAACCCAGATCTAACAATGATGCTGAAATAATAACACTCAGTGAGAGCGCACAGAACTCGTATTCAGTGAATCCAGAGTTACGCTAAGTTTGAAAGACATTAAAACAAGGACTGTACAATATTGTTCATATACAATCACCACACACCCTCGTGTAATCTGCCCCACGTTCACGCTTACTCACTTGACTGGCACGCCATAGAGGACAGTCTACAAGCACACAACTGCAAAGTGAACGCTGTGACGGCGTCAACGTGCGAAACAGAACAACTGTTTACCATCGAGGCTGCGTTTCTTATGGTTCGTAACATTTGCTCAACAAGCATGATCCCCAGCATGCAACAGTCTAAAGACGCCTGTGGATCATGTGCCACACTTGTTAGGGGGCGTTACGTGTCTGAATTGTTGCAGCTTTTTCCATGCGAGGTGCGTCCGAGTTAACTCTAATCAGGCCAAGTTGTTAAACAAATCAGATTCCGTATGGTTCTGCGTGGAATGCACATCTATCATACTGATAAAAAGCGTGCTCCCATTATCTCAGCAGTACGATCAGCTACTAGCCAATTTTGTGGAAATGGTGACCACCAAAATCACTACGGTTGGGGTAAGCATAGCGGACTATTCAACTTACGCCTCCCCAGTAAGTGCTGCTCCAATCTTGGGGAGAAAGGTTTGTAAAACCGTTATCAAAACGACGCCAATAGTTCAGAAAATCAATTGCTGCTCCAATCCCACACTTGACTCACATTTGATTTATGCGGTTCTCAGTTCGATCGGAGTAGCTACACGTAAGGCTACTTCCAATCTCCAAACGAAGTGCACAGAAAAAGAGAAAGCCGGTACTAGCGAATGTTCAGATCCAGTGACTTCGAAGAGTAGCCGTCATTTAAAATTAACGGCAACCCTAACTGGATTGGAAACTGAAGAGCGAAGCGGAGTTCTCCTGATGCAAGCACCGCCGGTTTCCTCCGGTACACCCCGAGTAGTTCAATCACTAACCGCGACATGTCGAAAGGTGCGAAAAAACGACAAACTGTACTGCGCGTATTGTTCTCCAATGTCCCAGAGTCAAACTCGGCATCAATAAGAGGCAGGCAGTTGGCTGACCTCAACCAGTGGGAAGTCACTACTAACCTAATCGGTGCTGCACTGAAACCTGTACACGTAGTGCCTATTACGCGGTACCCCAACTCTAAGGATTACGGAGAGCCAGGACTTCTGCGCGTAGAATCAGCACTACTATCGACTCAAGTATGAAACTGCTCCACCCATATCTTTCCAAACATCCCATGATGTCAAACCTTATCGAATCAACCGCACCTTAGAGGACTACCGGAAGGAAACTTTAACCAGAACCATTCTTGTTCACGGGATTCCTGAAACTGAAGCATGCAAGGAACATGAATTACCAACCCATTGCCAGTTACCAAACCCATGTCCCTGAAACACTCTCCTTGTGTGATGTGCTAGCGAAGTCGGTGTCACAGCTGCGTACCTTACTGAAGTACGAAGGATGTGGCCCGAGAGTGTTGAAGGTGGCCTTACAGTCACAACATATGGTAGTACAGCTGCTAACAAGCTGGTACATGGTTCGTTTCAGGCTACCGTCTGAGCTCCTGCTGAATACAATCAGCGATATGCCCCTTAGAGATGATATGTCACTCAACGAACCAAACGCGATGGGATTTGTAAAAAAAACAATACACCATATAACCTGTTTAAGATTATATTGAACAGACACCTTGGGCTGTACCTAGAAGATTAGCTACGGGACTGACTACGCAATGAATAAGACTTGAATCTACACGATCTGGATGTATCGACATCACCCAATGAACAGTTCAGAACAGACTTGCATGAACTTCTCATTAATTTTCCCTTGTACAATCATATCACCACGCCTACTAAATTCAGGACAACTAAAAGCCGTCCATATTGGACTTTGTGCTCACAAATGAACAGCTCATGGTTGACAAGTTATCGATGTATAGCCCATTAGGTCTCAGCGACCATGTATTATTAACGTTCAACTAGGTTTGTTATACCGAGTATCTGTCTGCACACTCGGAACTAAATCATACAATCACACGCTACCACGTTCTGAAAGAACTCGCCGAGGTATCCGCTTTGGAATTCTCGAACACTAGTCCCCCTGACGTTTGGACAGAGTTCGTTGATAGACGCAGCGACATCGTCAACAGAGCAACAGTGATCAAGCCCTTTCGTTCCGCAAAAATACCTTCTATTCTAAGGATCAGGACACAAAAGTGCATGGCGATAAAGGATGCAGCATGCAATGCTTACAAGGTTAATCTCGACTCAGAGACAAAGGGCAATTTGCTGACTCATCACAACCATTGCACTGCACTTGTCCGTGAGGACAAACTAACTTATCAACAGTGCCTAGCCAAAAAGTTTGACAGTAAAAAAACTACTGTATAGACATGCCAGCAGTCTTCGTAAAACATGGCAGCTCTCCACTTTTCACAACAGGCAGTAGAGTACAAAGCGCCGAAGAAGCAGTTAATGCCCTGCGGCTACAATAAGCCCCAATTCTGCACTTACAGCCTCTACCTGTCCCATAAGGTCAAGCAAATTACCGACTCCAGGGCATACACATGTAATTTCTAACCCAGAAATCGTGCTAAGGAAGCTACTCTCACTGCGCGATCATAGCTCTCTGGGAGCAGACAGCATCCACCCAAAACCAATGAAGGCTGCGGCCTACAAGCTAGCTGAACAACTGTCACAGTTATTCCAAACTTGCTTCGATGAACAGCAAGTCCACACTATGTGGGAGCGTGACATTATAACCCTAATTTTTACAAGTGTAGCCGTTCAGATCCTGCACACTATCGCTCAGTTACTCCTCGCTGCTCCCGCGAAGGTGATGCAAGCGGTCGTCACGGAGGCTCTGATGGACTACCAGGAAAAATGCGACATCTTGGCACCGGAGCAGCATGTCTTTCGTCAACACCGGTCATGCACCACCAACCTGCTAATTGCTCGAGGTAGTTGGACGTAAGTGACTGATGATGAGGTCGGAGTGGACATCATCCATCTGGACTTATCTAAAGCCTTCGACCGCCCAGGTCACCGCAACCTACTTCACAGGCTACGGAATTGGAGATCCTGTTCCTGGTTGGATTGACAACTTTCCTCACCAACGGGAGCTTCAAGTGCGTGTTAGGTGATCACTCTCTAACCCGATTGAGGTGAAATGTGACGTCCCACAGGGTTCGGTCCTGGAACCGCGCTTATTCCTGGTATTTATCAACGACATGGCAAGAGTTATCTCTTCAAATTTCCTGCTTTCCGCTGATTATGTCAAGATATGGTGGACGAGTAGTAACAAGGATCTACTCCAACATGAATGAGATTGCATTTATGAAACGCCAACTAGAAACTTGCTTCAGTTGAACACAGCTAAGTGCAAGGCAATCCCTCTGCCGGTGAGCGTTTACAAGCTTGGAGACCGTACCTTACAGAACGCCTCTCAGGAGCATGACCTGGATGTATTGGTACAGGAAGCTCGGATGCTCAAAACAAGCAGAGAAGACGTCGAGAACCGGCAAACAACAATTTGGCATTCTTCGCAGTGCGTTCGGTCGGTTTAAACCGTCAACCTTCCCACAAATGCCTAATGCCTAGGTGCGACCCATGTGGAATAAGCTAACCAAGCGTTGCACCTGTGGCAGAAACAGGACCCCGAGACTCGAGACTCCTCAATGAAGATCATTCAGGAACGTTAGAGGCCTCTTCCATCTGCTTTGGAATGCACAGCATTCGATATTGGTTTCTGCGGGGGGTCTCATAATGTTTTACCAGCATCTGAAGAACCCACATCACATTTACAACCCACTGCTGGAGTTGAACCACAACGCTAACCTAAGAGGTCATCCTCTGAAACTGACAATACATTATGGTCAGCTTGAATGCCGTAGAAATTTCTTTTCCGTCCGCGTGTGCCAGCCTTGGAACGCTCTACCTAATTATGTCGTCTCTGTCCCTAATCCAGCGACATTTGAATAACCACTTGACGAAACGTTGTCTCATTTGCATTTCATTTTATAACTCGTTAGCTAGGGGCTACAATACACAATCAAACGATGTATTACCAAACTCCCAACCATTGGATTTATCGATTTATACTTTTAATAAGCGAATATCTCCGCCATTCTACATAAGTCTCTGGTGAGTTCATCAAAATGCTTTTCACTCTATCACGAAATTTTGTTTTCGAGATCATTTCCATTCCGCGGGACTTGTTATGCATTGCTTTTTTTACCCGCGATATACCATTGTTCCATCATGTGCAATATTGTATCCCAGTTTGCTTCACTATAGTGGAGCCGTTTTGTTTGCATAACCAACAAAACCGTTTTCCTACTTTATGTGACATTTAACGGATATTTTAACTCTTCGTTCCTTTCAGGTTGCAGTCCCCTTCAGTTCTACCACAGATCCGAATACGAAATGTATGGAGCACATCACTGAGACAAGTGTGGATGCGTTTTTATCCAGGCTACAAGATATACAACAGTCGGGAACAAATCCGGAAGTAATCCAACAAGTTGTCACTGCCCTGAACACGGCTGTTGCAAAGAAAACTTTGAAGCTGATTGTATAGACCTTTCAATTATGTCGTGGACATGTACCATACGTTGTATCATAATAAATCGTTCTGCTTGGTTTAGCTCGTCAACCGTTCAGTTTAGTGTATCAATTATGATCCGTACACCAAAGCGTGGTGGGTCTAATTTGCCTGTCGGCGAAACAGAACATTTGCCAGCAATAACAAGTACATTAATAATGGCAATAGTTAAAACTCGAGAAAATTAACGGCGACAAAAATTGTCAGGGGAAGTGGGCAAAAGTCAAAACTAAGTGGATAAATATAGCAAATACGTTGCACATTGGTATTCGAGCGTCGGAGTGCAGTCGAAACATACTCATCGTCATCAACGTTACATCAGTTATTTGAACTAATGATTCGCTACAGTACAACCACGGTAACCTAAAAAACGAAGCGTAATAAGAGAGAAGGGCGGATCTAGTGTCCTAAACAAACATTCAAAGTCAAGGCGCCTACACCTTGTACCAACAACATACCGTCACACACAGCTGACTATCATGCAAAGCTAAGGCGGCATCAGCGAGACAGCTTCCTTGCGGTTTTCACCGCCCTGCATCATAATCAGTTATGAACCAGCGGATAACTCAGCACCAAACACTACAGACAGGCAGTCCGATTTGCAAACGACGGCGTCACTGGTGCCGAGTACGAGCCATGCCCTGTAACGTCTCGGGCCAAGCACAAGGCGAGTCACTTGGACTACAGCCTGGAAAGCGAGACAGACCAACAGCACCACGTTTTGTGGTCATTGACTTCATTTCCAGCTGGTTAACTTTGCTCACCACGAGCATTGCGTTATCCTGCATCTGGTAAACAAAACAAGGCTTTCCTCGGTAAGCGGGGACCGGGCATACGTAGTACGTGTCCAAGCCAACGCAACCTACTCAGTGTTATCACTTGTTCTAAGGAACTAGCCTGATAATCACCGCTTAACAGTCGTCTACTCACATCATCGTTGCTGACACGCTGGGGTCACTCGACACCAGCATTGTTTCGCGGGCATCGGTGATCAAAGACTTGAAGGCGCCTCAGACTATAGGGGCCAAGTCTCACTCTTATAGAGTGGGAAGACCCTCACTGTGACCTTTCAGATCGATGATAACCCCTTCTGTCACCACAGATTTCGCAGATTCAAGGTAGTTCTAGCTTTTGCAACACGTGTACTTATTTCAGTGCTTTTGTGTTCATCGTTGTTGATTTAGCTTCCAAGGCGTCAATTAATCAACTAGTGATCCTCGTCATCAAGGGTCAAGGGGTTGTAGGGCCGGCAAAACACTTTGCACTTTAAAGGTGCGAAGTGCATGCCAAATGACTGGGCCACTCTAGGGAGTTTATTCAAGGTTGACTGGGCCGCCCCAACATCGTTAAATAATATGACAATATGCTCCGCTTTCCGCCAGGCGGCACTTCAACGCCTGTATCATAAGGTTCTACAAGGGCACACTCCATGATGGAGTCCATGACGAAATTGGACAGCCCTGACGAGCGCCACTTATTGTCGGATGGATATTCAAAAGTCACCGTAGACTCTGACGCGGCCTGTAGTGTTCGAGTATAGGGGCACGTAAAATGTTCACATATTTCACGGGAACACCTTTCTGCATAGATTTTTCGTACAGAATGCATCGATTGTCTGAGTCTAGTCCGAGGAATTCAGATATTGTTGGACTGCGGTATGCGTGGCGCTGATCTAGCACCTGCCACAAAGTGATTATTTGGTCCATACAGCCACGTGCTGGATGGAAACCCACCTACTCTTCCCTAGCCCGGGATTCCCCTTCCGCTGTGAGTCGACGAATGCGAATTGAGACAAATACTTTTGTCACCATTGGAGTTGAGCTACTGCCTCTGCGGTTAGCACAATCGGCGCAACTGCCCTTCTTGTATATTGCCACTATAATCGATTCCCTCCAGCTAGCTGGGACGCTCTCTTCCTTCCAGACAGGGAGGTCACTGTTTTGCAGATGATCTCACCACCATCCTTAAATAGTGCGGGTGCAATGGAATCCGGGCCAGCAGCTCGATAGCGTTTCGGACCTCAGCCTCTCAAGGAGCATCTACAGTAACTGTCCATGGCTCAGCCTGCACCACCTGACTGGTAAGGTGTCCGGAAGCAAAGAACCAAGTGAACTCACAACGAGCCTTACACCGTTCCTTAAGGTGGATAAGTGCGCCTGCGCTGTTTCTGCTGATCTCACTGACGCCTGGTTTTCTGGGGCCAGTGGTGCGGATCACTTAGAAGAGTTTGCGATAATCTCATAATGCCCCTGCCTCCTACATTTCTTGAGCCCTGCTGGTCCACCAGGCTTCTTTGTCAGCACGTAGGCTCCGCCTTTGTTCGCGCTTAATATTCCCTCCCGTCACAATCTGCTCAAGGTCCGTCGATGGTTTTCTTCTGGACTCAAATAGGTTCACCGACCTCTCGGGTATTGAGTGACTGGTACAGTAACAATTGATAGTGCCATAAACAGATGTTTCCGCGTCGAGCATGGCGGCCAAGATCCCATCATCTCCATCGCCTCCAAATTGCTTGCCTCTGTCATCCTTCACAGACTGACTGGCACTCGTGAAAGCCATATTCGTGAGGAGCAAGCCGGGTTTCGTCGAGGTCGTGGCTGCATTGACCACATCTTCACTTTGCCTCAGTTGTTGGAACGCCGTCACATATATTGGCGGCACACCGTTGTCGTGTTCCTCGATATCAAAGGTGCATTCGATTCGGTGGATAGACTTTCACTTTGGGACTGTCTACTCAGGTCAAGTGTATCTGAGAAATATGTAAATATTATTCGATCATTATGCGCGACCATTATGCGTCGCCCTTTAATATCTCCAGCGGTGTGATGCCCACTGTCACCTTTCCTCTTCAACTTCGCTATTGACGAAGTCATGGAAATCGCGTTCACAGGACACCACTTTGAAGGTGTGGATCTGTTCCCAGGCGAACGACTTTTTGACTTGGAGTATGCTGACGATGTTTCCCTAATCTGTGACAGCTCACAAACATGACAAGCGGCACTGGACAGATTAGCACTGGCTGTCAACCGCTTCGGGCTGTGCTTTGCACCATCGAAATGCAAAGCGTTCCTCCAAGATTGGCCTAGACCGCCTCCTTCGCTGGTCCTTGGGGGTGATCAGCTAAAAGTCGTTCAAAAATTCAACTACCTGGGAAGTTATATCAGTGTTCGTGGGATTGAAGATGAGATCAAGAACCATATAGCAAAAGCTCGAAGTGCTTTTGCTAACCGCCATTTATGGCGCCTGCGCGACATCACTCTCGCCCTGAATGGTAGAGTGTACAATGCAGCGGTACGTTCGACCCTACTGTATGGTTGTGAAACCTGGCCCCTTAGATCAGCGGGCATAAAGAGGCTAGTTACGTTCGATCAACGGTGCATTCGCAATTTAGCTCGCATCTGGTGGGAACACCGCGTGAGCAACGTGCGTGTTCGAGGCCCTGTTTACGGCACAGGAAAAGGAAATGAACCGCTCAGCACCGTTATTTCCCGCACCAGGCTCCCATGGCTCAGCCCACTGACTCCCGCGACGTGCGTTGTTTGCGCGCCGGGGGTGTGGATGGAAGAAGAGGTGAGGTGGCCAAGCGATGACTTGGTCGAGACGAATGAAGGCCCTCACTTCGGAGCTGGCCTCGGTTGGAGCGTCTCGGCTCCCTGGTTGGGGTCCGAAAGACGGTGAACACGTTTGGCTGGATACACTTGTTAATATGGCTAGGAGCTGACCTCAGTGGCGTTCGTGTTGTGAGTTTCTTTGTCCCACCTCATCCCTCTTAGCCTTTCTTTCCAACCACGATCTCATTATTTAACATTTCATAACTTTGCATAGTAAATTATTTTTTTGCTGCATAGTGGCCGGCAGGTACTTTAACGGAATGATGCCCATCCCTTACCGGTAACTTAGCTGGTTTGCACCAGTTACATTTTTTCTCCTTTTTTCTCTTAGCTATTACGGCACAGTAGCTGAGGTGTTTTCCACCTCTAGCTAACGTGTATAGTGTGTGTGTGTGTCATACTGAAGCCCAACGTCATTAAGATGAGAGATCAAAAGTTCGGTAAACCGTGCATCCTGGTCAGCTTGTTTGACTTCGCACTGAGACATCTTCTGTCGCCGATCGAGGGATGCTCGGAATGCCTCCCGATAAAGTTCATAAAAAAACAACAGCCTACGAAGGCATGATCAGAATCGACGCAAGTATTCCACATCGAGCGACAGTTCAGGATGGGACCACCCCACCTCTAACTTATGACAGCGTGATTTATTTGGGTTCATCGCTGGCGACCTATAGGTAGACGCCAAGTGGAGCTTCAGCGTCCACTGTGTCTAAAAACGGTACTGCCGGCCCGTTGCCTAGAGCTAACGAGCTTGTCTGGCAGTGGTGCTGCTTAGGAACATCCAGTGCTCATACAGTTGCAACAGACTCTCACTGTTGTCGGTGCTGTCGTAGTTAAGTCCATACTTGCCATATACCTTAGCTTCTGAAGAGCTCGAACGATCTACTTGCGCATTCATATCCCTTGTAACAATAAAGATATCTGAACCGGTTTCACTACGAAGCAGGGTGTTCCGTATCTGGCAGGTGTCTTCGACAGCCTTAGAACTGCAATCGGTTGGGCATACGCGGAAACCACAAACAAACAACGTCTCGCTATACTTCGTGAATCAACTGTAGTTGAAGTCGTCAAATGGGCTCCGATAACTGTGGCGCCGACACAACAACACTCTCGCCCTGAAGGGCAGAGTTTACGATGCAGCCGTCTGCTCCACTCCCCTGTACGGTTGCGAAACCTAGCCCATCAGAGCGACAAGCATATAGAGGCTCACTATGTTCGATCATCGCTGGCTTCGCAGCTTAGCTCGCGTCTAGTAGGGACACCGCGTGAGCGATGTACAGCCTGTCCCAATACTCCGGCCACTCTACTCTGTTAATGCGTGACAAAGGGTCATTCCTTCGGGTGTGAGGTAGAGGGCACTAATTG